GTTCTCCCTCTGTCCGGCAAGCGCCCGCGCCCTATAGCAAAAACCTCTCAAAAAAAAAAAAAAAGGTATCCTTCCATCTGTCCCTCCCAGTGCCCCAGCCACAAATTAATGATATGTATTGCATTTTCACCAAGACTTTAAAGTTTCATAACTTCATGAAGAACAGTGTTTTCCCCAACCATTAAAAACTCAAAGTTAGTGCACAGTGAAGACACCTGATACGTGCACTGAAATGCAAACACACACATACACACACACACCACTTACACGGAATGCTGCAAGAATGATTCTTGTTACTTTCTCTTTGACAGATTCTTGAAGGATATCAGATAGAACAGGAATGATATTATAGCGTCGCAGATGTTCACACATTTGAGGACTGAATGCCAGGAGCCATATTGAAAAAATCATTTGATACTGGAGTTGGAAACCACACTTGTTACTCAAAACTCCCATTATGCTGAAAAAGAACACACATGTAGAAAGCATTTAATATGACAGTACAGCAAGAAAGAGGAGGTTATTTTCTTTCTGCAGTAATGGAACAAGTCTCTGCTCTGCAACAATAAGCAGCTAGACTGCCACTCACAGAGGGCATTTCCAGCACAGCTCCACTCCAAAAGTCACAGGACCTCAGGAACAGGAGCGCTTGCTGCAGCAAAGCAACCAGAAAGACAACCAAGACTCGCAGCATGGCAGACAAAATGGTGAGAGGAATGTAACATGCAACAGAAAGCTAAAATCAGTAAGATGTGGTGTCAAAATTGATGTGCACCTTTAAGTCAATCAAAAGGATCATTTACACCTTTAAAATATATAAGAAACTCAGAGAAAAGGAGTGATATTTTTGGAGGAAAATGGTCATGAGTCTAATAGCCAATCACTGAATCTTAGGTTCAAGAGAAAACCTCAGAAACTTCTAGTTTCATCTCTACTAACAATGACACTGGGAAAGCTATATGGAAATTTATTTAAAAGTTGGACTATGGGAACATATATAAAAGAAGAAGAGAGTTGAAAAACTTTTCCTGGGTAATGCCTTTGTTCAAACAGAGATGTTCGGAAATCATTAAATAAGAACATTAAAAAATAACCAGAGGGGTTAGGACCAGCAGTTGGCAAAATGACTATGTTGCTGGACTCCCATGTAGTCGACCACAGTTCGAGTCCCGGACCTGGTGGCTTAAACTCACGCCGGGCGCGAGTGCGTGCGTACCCAAGATCCTGAGAGGAGAATGGAAGAGAAGGGACCGCAGCGTGGCCATCCCCCTGGGGGGTGATTTCTCATTTTCTGTCTCTCTGTCTCTCTTTCTGTGTCTGGCAAGCACACACACCCTATAGCAAAAACCTCTCCAAAAAATAAATAAATAAATAAATAATAACCAGAGGGGGCCAGCAGGTGGTTTGGTGGGTAAGGGACTGGACTCCACGTTACTGACTGTGGTCTGAGTCCCAGACCCAGTGGCTTGAAACTCACGGCAGGTGCATGTGCATAAATTAAAAAGTAGATTGAATGGATTGAAATTTGATGATTAATGTAAAAATAATTACTAATTTATTGAACTGACAGATACTGAATAGTCTGTGACAATTTGAATCCAATTTATAAGAATATTTGCAGAAGTACTCACTAAGAAATTGCACACCAGTGTTGACTGAGGAGATCCCAATTATTTGAGTCCTGCTCACAGATATATTCCTACACTGAGACGTGGTGTAGGAGTCTGACGAAGTCTGATGACACTAGCATCGAGATCACTCAATTGACTCTTGCTCGATATCCTCAGTCAGTAAGCTATCTACTGTTGATGACTTAGCTTCCTGTACAGGTTATCCAACAGAATCAATGCCTTCCCTAACTGAGAAGCATATTCAGCTTAAGAACGGCTAGATCCCTTGGGACCAGCAGTTAGCGTAATGGCTATGTCACTGAACTCCCATGTAGCTGACCATGTAGTTAGAGTCCCGGACCCGGTGGCTTAAACTCACACCAGGCACGAGTGCATGTGTGCCCAAGATCCCAAGAGGAGAATGGAGAAGGGACTGTGGCATGGCCATCCCCGCTGGGGGGGGTGATTTCTCACTTTCTATCTCTCTGTCTCTCTCTGTTTTTCTGGCAAGTACATGAGCCCAATAGCAAAAATCTCTCCAAAAAAAAAAGAACGGTTAGATCCCTGATTATGAGTACACTATTTTTCTGGTGGTAATACTGGGTTCCACCGTTTGTTTGGAGGAGTTTTAGGTTGTTTGTTTGTAAAAGCTTGTTATACCTGAGTAGGCAGTTCCTCAAAGTTTCTGTACCTCCAAATTAGGACTCACCAGAAAGTGAGCAAAATTGTATGACAGAGTGTCTTATACATAACTCTTTTCTGTGTAAGCCCTTTCCTTACTGATCTTTTACCTGCAATCACCACAAAATACCTGTGTAATTCTTTTACATTCTGAGAACCTGGAATTCGTTTTGTCAAGCATTAGGTTCTCAGGAAGCCTTGCCCTCTTAGAAAAAGCACAGACGGTGCAAGGGAAGGAGAGATGCTCAGTGGGTAGCTATTGACTCCCATGAAGGTTAGCACAGTCCATTGTTAACAGACATGGACAAAATAAAACGCTTCTTTTAGATAATTAAATGTATTAATTTCTTTGAAAAGGCCAAGGAGAAATGCTCTCCACTGTTACTCTGCATTAAAAGTAAAGGGCACTCACCAGTTTACGCCATCTGCTTCCACCCAGGCAAAGCGGTACTCATTGACCCGGAGCATCAGCTGCAGGCACCCGGCCACGCACTGCACGTACTGAGAACTCTACACGAGAAGAAGCGCATGGTTCAGAACCGGCCGGGGCTAACGCCTTGAGATCAAGTACACATTTACCACAAAACGTCTGCTCTTCTGACCAGAATGTGTTAGTAGCAGAGCATCCAAAGTTCCCTACTATCTTTTCAAAGGTTGGTCTTCATTTGCTTTTATCTCCACCGCCTCGAAATGAAGATGGCTTTGTCTCTCACACTGAATCTACACAACTGCATGTGGTTAGGGAAATTAGGAACGAGGTAGTTATAACTCTGGTACAGTCTGATAAATAGGCATATTACCTTACATTTCACATACCCGGGACCAGACGCATTGCGTACAGAGAATAAGGCTCTAGACAAGTATAGAAATGCCTACGAACAACAACAAAGTTAATGAAGAGAAGAGGGGATGCTTGAGACAGGCCTGTATTTGAAGGACCTTGGGCAAGATACTGAACTTTTACAAAATTCAGTTCCTTCTTAAAGAGGACAGCACTCCATGAACTCTGAGGGGGTACTGTTAGGTTTAAGGGAAATAATTCGGTTAGCACACAGCTAGACACGTTGTCGGAATTCCATAAAAATAAACTTAAAAAAAAATTTACATGGCATATAGAAAGCCTAATTAAAGTCTACACCGATAGTCTAATTAAATGGTTGGAAAAGATTGCCTATTTAAACTGTCAATTCAGTAGCAATGTTCCACAAAAACTGTGCATACGTCTAAAACTTAAAATTAATAATAATAACACCCCCAGTAAGTTGCAACCCCTTCATTTTATCAAACCTAGAACAACAACTGGCCTAGGCTCATCCCTAAATGTTGACAATGAGCCTTGTATCTTTAAGATGTGGTTAGAAAAAGATATTTCATATTCTAGTCTTCACAAAGAACATGCTAATAAAAAATTTTAATGGAAAATACCAAGGTTTTATATAAACTCACAAAACCTAGTATACATGATGCTACAAAACTCATTAGAAATGGTGTTCTAATTTAAACAACATTCGTAGAAACCTAACGCTTTAAAGAAATTCCAGGCACCAAGTATAAAAACACAGTGACATGAGAACATCTGGTAAAATAATCCAATGTTATCAAAAAAGTGTTATCTTCTGTTCTACCTGGAAAACAGTTAACACAGTTCACATCATATATCCAGAATATAACTTGCCTGAAAAGTGAGAATAGTGGCAGAAATTAGTAGTAGGGAAAAAGTGCATTTTCAACTCCAAAACAATCTCCCATAATGGAAAGAAGTATGTGTATCCTTCCAACTAGGTCAACATAGAAACCTGTTCTGAAGGAGGACTCATCTCGTTTAAAGAGAGAATCTGAGCAAAGTTTCTAGACATAAATGAGTAAAAGCACAACCCAGAGCACTCTCTCCTCTTCCATTTATTATCAATTTCCTCTCAATGCTAAAACTTATTTTCTGTGTGCATTCACCATGCTGTGTTGAAACACACGGCACTTCCCTATGGTGGACTATAACCATTCCAGAGATGACTTTCAAAGTAGGGAGCAACCACAGCACTGGCAAATGACTGAATTCCTGACTTCAGTTAAAGGAAGTAGACAGCGGGACCAGCAATTAGCGTAATGGCTATGTCGCTGGACTCCCATGTGGTGGACCAAGGTTTGAGTCCCAGACCCTGTGGCTTAAACTCACGCCGGGCGCATGTGCATGCGTGCCCAAGATCCTGAGAGGAGAATGGAGGAGAAGGGATTGTGGCGTGGCTATCCCCCCTGGGGGGTGATTTTTCACTTTCTGTCTGTCTGTCTGGCACACGCACATGCCCTATAGCAAAAACCTCTCAAAAAAAAAAGGAAGTAGACAGCATCACTTCCTTATCTTTCACTTAACTCCTTTTATTTAGACTCCTGTATAAAATTATCCAGAAAGTTTTTAAAGAAAATAATCAGCTTTGGGGACCAGCACTTGGCATAATGGCTATGTCGCTGGACTCCCATGTGGTGGACCAAGGTTTGAGTCCCAGACCCTGTGGCTTAAACTCACGCCGGGCGCATGTGCATGCGTGCCCAAGATCCTGAGAGGAGAATGGAGGAGAAGGGATTGCGGTATGGTCATCCCCCTGGGGGGCGATTTCTCAGTTTCTGTCTCTCTGTCTCTTTCTGTCTTTCTGGAGAGCACACACACCCTATAGCAAAAACCTCTAAAAATAATAATAATAATAATAATCAGCTTTGGATCAATCCAACCACTCAATACCTCCCACCATACACAAAGACAATTCAATACTGCTGGAGAAAAATCACACAACCATGGCAAAGGCACCAGCATTCTGCTATTCTCAGCCACCCAGGGTCACTTTCATCCACTGGTCACTCTCATGTGCTATTCCCTTCCTTCACTCTGAGCCAGTAAGAGAAAACACATTAGAGATTCACCCAGTTACCAGCAAACATCTCACTGAATTACATCTCCATCCTTATCTGTCCCCCACCTCAGAGGGACAGCTGACCTTCTTCCCATCAAGACTCACAGCAGCCCCTGCAGGGTTCAAAACCTCAGAGCCCTCTCTCTGGGTTCATACTCTTATCCCCCCAAGACGGCCGAGCAGCAGGAGCCTCTAGATGAGCCCACCCTGTGGAACACTCTCAAAGGACCTTGTGCTTCTCCCTTAGAAGCAGTGCCACAGTTTACTGAGATAATCGACTCCCTGATGACTTGCTCAGTGAGGCCCTCCCCAGATCCAGCGCTGCCCCCTGCAGGCAGATCATGCCCGTCCTGTTGAGTACTGCACTTCCCGCACCATGCACTGTACTGGATAAATACTTCTTTGTTGACCGAACAAACAGAAGAAGTACAAACTCCCTATTTTACACTAATTCCAAATAACAGTTATCCTAGTAGATATGGCTTAATAGTTCAAAAATCTAAAAATTTGACCAAAATTTCTATAATAAAATAAACAATTTAGCACGTATTTTGGATTGGGGATTTTTTTTTTTTTTTTTTTTTTTTAGCCAAGACTGAATCTGATTGACTGCTACAAGTATTTCCTAGAGCAACTATGGACCTTCCAAAATAACCTATATTTTTTATTTATATTACCTCAATTTGAGAACTGATATAAAGTGCTCAACAATTTTGAGCTTACCCTATGACACCGTATCTTACTAGGAAATATTTATTATGTAAGAACTTGTTTAGCCAGAAGATAGTTTTCATTTAAATTGCTAAAGTAAACTATTTCTCTAGCTCCAAAATACAATCTGTATTTAGACTGACTTAACAAAAATACATTCGCACAAAGAAAAAAATTTTAGTGGGTCAGACACAGCTGTAAAAGGGGGAGGTGCTCTGCAAGGCCATTCCACATGGGCAGGTTGGTGGTTTAATCCTGGAGACCTCCCTGAGTATGCGAGGCACACACTCGCCTACAATCTGACACTGGCTGAAGGCTGGGTACCCTCACGGGTACCGACATGAGTATCACCATATTAAGATCTCATTAGATATCTCTCTCCTTCTCTTTCATGAAAGAAAGAAAGAAACTTATTTTAAAAAAAAGAAGAAAGAAAAGATGTCTTAGATACTCATTGCGTTGTTTCCTCAGATTTTTTTCCTTCTGGGCTTTTTTTTTTTTTAAGTTTTCTTTATTTCTTTCTTTCATGAAAAAGTACGGCGCCACCTCAACAGGGTCTCATGCTGCAATCCCTGCCCAGCCTTCCCCACCAGCCAGGATCACAAACACACACAGCATATACAGGGCCGCCGAGAAACCGAACCTTCACCTTCCACATGGATCCAGCACCAGGGAGCAGCATGCCACTGTACCCCGTGCTGTCCTCCTTTCAGTTTTAACGTCAGTCCATTATTATAAGTTGTTCTTTGTTGTAAAGATTTTCTGTAACCAAAATGGATTTTTTTTAACTCTTGCAATTACGAAAAAAGCTGGCAAAAATTGAAATTGTCTTTTACAAAGACAATTTGTTAACATGTATATTTTTTCCAAAGTATTTTCAAATTAGAAACAAAAGGAAGAAAACATTTTTTTTCCTATTTGAGAGGTTTTTGCTATAAGGCGCATGTGCTAACCAGAAAGACAGAGACAGAAAGCGAGAAATCACCCCCTAGGGGATATGACCACGCCGCAATACCCTCTCCTCCATTCTCCTCTCGGGATCTTGGGCACACACGCACACATGCCCAGTGTGAGTTTAAGCCACCAGGTCCAGGACTCAAACCGCAGTCGACTACATGGGAGTCTAGCAACGTAACCATTACGCCAACTACTGGTCCCCATATTTTCCTATGATACCAACAGCTCATCGCTATGATAGCATTTCAGATGAGAAACACGGGGTTGAAAAGGTGATGCAACACTTAACCGCAGTGACACACGCTGCTACCCAGAGGCTGAGACCGTACAGGAGGCCCAGCGTCAGTCCCGGGCTCGGCCTACATAGGCCAAGCACAGTGCTGTACACCTGTGGTCCCCCTGGGTGGCTGGGAGCTAGGGCAGGAGGACACTAACATGACAAGATTCTGTCAACACAAAAATCAATCTCACCTCATAAATAAACAAACATTTAGAATGATTATATAATGTATTGACATTAAAATAGTAAGTTGATCAAAAAAAAATAGTAAGTTAATCTTAGATTGGCACTAGCTAGAAGTAAAGTCTTTTCATACCTGAGTTAGTGTCAAGCATGCCGGGCTGAGAGCTTGCTGTAACACATACTTTCTATGCAGCAAACCCCAATGGTAGAGAAAAACACTATTTTTAACTTTTCAACACACTTAAGAAACTTATCATTTGAATAAATGTTCTAGTGTTGCTGAAATACAATTATAGCAAAATTCTCCCATCACAAGGAAAATAGCAACCGACGGAATACACCTTCCTGGTGAAAATGGTCTCAGAGCCCTATATTGTGCAGAATTGCAAAGTAATCCAAAATTAAAGAACTACAAAACAAGAAGGCAACAGAGAGAAACACAGAAGTCAGTGATAAGATTCCAAGGTAAAACTAAT